TTTTAATTGAGTTAGAATTGCATAAAATAGAAATCAGAAATATTAGCTAAACTGCTGTCTAATGGGAGCTTAACTACTATTAATAGATTCATTCTCGATCGATGTCTTGAAAATGAGTCCGTTCGTGCCATCTTTCTAAAGAAATAAATTTCTGTAGTACGTCTGGTTGATGTACAATTTTATTCCTACATAAGTGCACAATCAGTAAATTTATTGCTCGTGACAGTGGAAATTTTTTGTTTATACTTTTAGTTTGTTTAAATAATTAATGTAAGAAGGCAAAAATATTTTATCAATTAGTTAAGAAATATGAAACACGTTAATATTGTTTTTGGTTAAAATACAAGTAAAGACCAGTATCATATGTCAAGTAAAAAACATTTCACTTTTGGAAAGTTTTAAGGTATAGAAAAACAAGGAATCTATAAAGAAAAGTAGGACTGGAATTATAGTGAGTGATATTTCTTTCATGTTGAGAGAAGAAATTGATAAAGAAATACAAAGTGACCTGTACAGATGACCATCCACCTACTGATTTCTACAAATTTCAGTTCAAAAAAGTTCATATCGATCAGGCAAATAAGATGAAAGAGAACAAAACTGTTTTATTACCATCGTTTGTTGGAATACTTGATTTCACGTTTAGAATTCAAATAAAATAATGGTCACGGAAAAAATATTTTAAATTGAAAAGAAAAGGACGTATTTTAAGTGACTAAAAGAAATGAATATTGAGAATTACGGGTACTTTAAAACAGTAATTGTTTAAAGTTAAATTAAGAGGATGGATTATGATGACTTTCACAACTTGAGAAATGAATATGTTTTACCTATAATAGCGTTGCAATAAATTTTGATCAATGAAGACGGTTTGAAATAATAGACGCACAACAGGCATAATCAATCCATTAACAGACAAATGCGAAATATTGCTGAAAGTGATGACAAAGATTTTTTCTTAGGACAAAAGAATGGAATGTTCTTGACAGTATTAAAGTACCGGCATTACAATTATTAGAAATGACTTCATTTGTCATTTATGTTTTTTTTTTCAAGGAAAACAACCTATTAAACTGAACAAACAAAATCTATTTGTTGAGTCAATTTTACGCTGATTTAAATATTTGCTCAGTGCACTATCATCCTTTGTAACAATGTCAGACGAACAAGTCAATAGTTCTTTTTTTAAAATATAATTTCCTTTTTGCTTAATTCAATTTTGATTATTCAATTTTCACAATTAATACTTAATCAAAAATGAAACTCTGAGATGATTGTGATTATCGAATATTACTATTAATTATAGAATACAAAAGTTTGAACTTTGAGTTGATAACTTTAGCTTGATTAAAATATAAATGTTAAATAAAAGAATAAAAATAACCACAGGAAATATAATTGGTTATTGTTATGACTGTTACTGATAGACCAAAGTACAATAATGACCGGCCTGATCCATCGACCTCCGATCTCATCTGTTTGTTATCACAAAAGGAATAATAAATTCTGACTTACATGCAATGCCTTCTGCTGTAAAACAGTGCAAATATTTGCCTGTTGCAATAAATCAAATTGGAAGATGACTTTACTGCACAGATTGCACCATCCTAAAGGCAATCTCTTTGTTTGGCCTCTTTCTTCAGCTCTTAGCACTATTATTTTTGTTTTTAAAAGTCACAAATTTTGCTAGCTGTTTCATTCTTACCTTATACATGCTTCTTTTTAATTAATTTAGATGATGTGATTTAAATAGCACTCAAAATTTCTACTTAATAATAATAATATTGCTTATCACTGTCAACTAAACCAACAAAAACCACCTTCAATCGCCAAATTTAACAGAAATCTTCCGAAAATTTTTGATTACTTCAATTTTACTAGAAATTATAAAAACAATGCATTCGATACTATAGAAATTTTTATTTTTGTTCCGATTTTTTGTTCATTCGTTCAAAGCACTTTTTAGGAGTTGCAGGCAGTACAAATAGTTTGATTCTCTCCATAAACAGGAAGAAATGCTTTAATTATTACAAAAATAACCACACGATTAAATAAAAACATGACGTCAACCAGAAAAGGATATGAAAATCGAAGTAAAAGTTAGTGAAAAGCAACTGAGGCTGACTAATACCTAAATAAACCATTTATATGCAAAAGTTAGTGTAATTTGTTTCCTGTTTGAGAAAAATTTCTTAAATATCAATTTTTTATTGAAAGAAAATGAAGTTCTCTAAATTATGTGTCACCAAATTGTATGAATTGAAGTAACTAATTTTGAAAAAAAAATCAAATTGCAAACTACTTCATGCATCCTTTTCAGTAAGTTCCATTGCATCTCAAAAGGAATTTATCCATTTAATTATTTAAACTACTTTATATATATTTGATAAAGAAAATTAATTGAACAGGGAAAATGAAATAAAGCGATAAGGATGAAGCAATGAAGCAAGAAGCATCAATGAAGAGACCTTACTGCGAGGGAGATATTGCGCGATATGGAAATACGAAATGGACCTGATGACACTGTTTGCCTTTCTGATTATATGTTATCAGTTTATTACATCTTTTAACCGAATGCTCAGCAGAACTGTTTGCCAGATCAATTCTTTCTTTTCTTTCCTCATCCTAGCACCTCATTTTATCTTCCCTCCTTGCATTTCACATTTACTGGCTGATGTTAATCGAGGTCTAGGACTCCTTGTCTCTGATTGTTGCAGAAGAGTTTTTTTTCCATTCCTTTCAAGTAAGTTAACAGAGATAAGAGATGAGGTAACAAGAGAGAAGGTCTATTGTTGATAAATGATTATATAAAATTAAACAGCTTAGTACACCTCATTAATATAATCTGGTTTTTTGGTTAAAGTAAAAAAAAAGCAATCTCAATTCTTTATTAGGTTTCTATTCGTAATCAGCATTTTTTTCTTGAATTTGTGAACAGTCTGTTTATTTGCATATATAAATTAGCAATCGCTATTTTTGCAATTTGTAAATCAAACAGATTTGAGATATGCAGAAATGCTACAAATGCCTTGTTGCTGTTACAGAAACATTACAAACGACACTAAAATTATAGCAATTTAGTCAGAACTTATCTTCCTCATGGAAAATTTTGTTGTAAAAGACGATAGCGAATAATCAGTAAAATAAAATTACAAGAATAATGCATTCTGGGAGATAAATTGAACTAAATTTGAATTCATCAATTTCCATACTAATCCAAGCAAAAAAAAATCTTAAAAATCATGGTTTCTCAGCAATCTTTAACTGAAAATCATAACGCCTTTAAGAAGAAAATCACCACGATCAGCAAGCAAACCAATGATTGAATTAAATAAAATGATTTGAAATAAGTTCTCTGAGCCCTTTTCAGAGGGCTTATGTACTAAATTGCATTTTACTTTAATGCCATACAGTATCTGTGATGAATTGCGACCAGTCATCACAGCCGTTCAACAAACTGTGAAAATAAGAAAGATTTATAATCAACAAGCATTAAATAAAAAAAAAGAGTGAACGAAAAACAATAAATCTTGGAAAGAGTGGAATGAAACTAATAAAAAGTCATCTAACATGAAATATTTAATCATTTCTAGTGGAACTTGAAAATCTAAAATATTGAAAATAGACTTTTAGTTTTTTTTTTGTTAATGAAACACAATTGTTCTTTTTCTTGCAGCTTCCATGTATTGAACCACTTCGCTATCAAAGTATAATATGAAAAGCAGCTAAAAGTTCATTTAGCCAATCGTAATGCTGCAAAATATGAGCTACTCAGACTTTCCAGAAGATTTTTTCATTTCCTTCCTATGATTGCTTTGATACAACAATGTGTGTGTGTGTGTTTTTTTTATCCAAAGTGATATTTGCAGTGCTTCGCAGAGAAATATGAAATCAATGTAGGTCGAGCACATACCTTATTAAGTTGGGAAACCTTGAATTTCACAGCAAGATAGTCTTACCATAGAATACCTTCAAAAAAATGGTATCTTAATACATGTTTTACCAAAAAACTTTTCCATGATTTTTGCATTGATAGTTCAGTAACAAATATACAAAGGTCAAGTCGAGAATTGGAACAGATTGTGCGCTTTGTTGCGCAAAAATTCGGTTCCATTAAGCGATGAATGCACTAAGAGAGGTACGTTAATACTAAAAAGAGTGGTAAAATTCATTCTCGTATATAAATCTAATTTAATACACTATGTGGCATTCATTTACACAGAGAAGCAACTATTGCATTATTGACGTTTTGATTAAAAAAAAGGATAAAATTCCAGATCAGCGAACCATCAAAGTCAATAAATGAAGACAAGAATATTGAACGTTATTATGAAAAGGTGGTTTTCTTGTCACGAATTATTTCTATCAACATCTTTATCATTTGATCACTATTTGTTTATTTTGGCTGAATAGTCGTATTAAAATTATTTTAATTTTGCCTTTTGGCTAAAATTAAAATAATTTTAAGCCGTCTGATTTGAATCGCGTTCCATCTTCATAATGGTCACGGAAAATCATCAAGCTTTTTTTCATGTTTTTTAAGATTGAGTATTATCTTTTCGATGCAGCAATTTTCTACATTTATCTGATGTTGGTACTCAAGAATTTAGGAGATTTTTTTTGAAGTATTTTCGAAAGCTCTTATATTTCCCTTTGTCCTGAAGTTGATCAGCTTTTAACAAACAAATACAAATTTAAACAAATGAAGAGCCTAAAACCATTTATAGGAGTTGCACATTGTGTTCGAAAATTCCACATTATTACATGCATTACTTTTGCAGTCTAACATTTGTAGCTATAATCGTCACATCTTTTAATTCTGTTTTTTCTTTTAATTCATTTTCAGGCTTATGCAGGAAGACGTGATAATTTAGTGCTATTAAATGAATTCTTAATTTGTTTCCTGCAAAAATAAATATGGGAAAAGGAATGCTTCATTTCATTGTCAATCAAATTATAGGCTGAGTGTGGCGAAGATAAGACTTCTTTGATGAGATAGAATGAAAAGTACTGCAATGGTGTCGGAACGTAATTTCTTACTCAGGATAGAACCAAGAGATAAGGTGGTCTGCTCCTTTTTTTAAACGGTTTTTTATAGCTGGAAAATTGTTGCAGTGAGAGCGAAATAAAAAAAATCAAGTTGATACTTTTTTCAATCATTAAATTTTAGCTCACATTTATTGGTGATATTACGGGTGAAATACATGCTACTATAAAATTAACAAATAATAGTGATTCACGACAAGCATTCAAAGTAAAATGTACAAGGAATGATTTATTTCGCATAAGGCCAGCAATAGGAATCCTCGATTATGGAGAAACCATTTGTATTGATATTACTTACAAGTTCAGCATCTCCCTCTTTTCAATTCTATTTCCTCATTTTGCATAATAAAAGATCTTAGGAAGGAAACTGGCAGAAAAAACATTTTTAGTCGTTGCCTAACAGGCGTGAATTTTTAAACTTTACTTGCAAGAAAAAGAAAGACTGCAGAAACTACGTCCAATCGAAGTTATTTTTAGGTTAAGATCTTTTAGATTACTTTAAATGCTTTGAAAAATTTGATAATATCAAAAAGTGATGAAGGGATGTTTTTTCTCAGTAATAAATCTAGAAATTATTGAAGAAAACTGAGGCAAAGATAATAATGGTTTTTTTTGGAGATACATTAACAATCAAATACCGGAATCTAACAGACATCACTTTGGTGTCTATCATATACCAGCACCAGAAGGAGCAACATGTGCTGGCGCCTGGGCTGAACATTATGGGCCTCCACAAGGAGAATTTCGAATGAAAGTATGTGTTAAATAGTATACAAAACAAAAAAAAAAACAAACACAAAAAGCCTGCATGAGATCAGGCAAAATGATTTCAACTAAAATCATGATCCACACTATGATCACACAGTACCGATGATTGATAAAATCTTAATTTAAAATCTATAATTCTTCCCCTTCTACTTTAAATTTAATTGATTTTAGTGTGGATTATCGGTACTTAGGCTACCACAGATAAGCCTGCATGAGATTAGGCAAATGATTTCAAAAGGAAGCTTAAAATGTTACTGATCAAATTTGTACTTGCAACGTGTCTCTTACCCTTCCTGCACATATGCGCCGAGGCTCTGATAACTAATTAACAATTGCTTTAAACCCATTCTAATTAAGCTGCATAAAAAAAAATATTGAATGAAGTTCTATTGAATGCATAAGATATCCACTATTGTTCCAGGTGTTCTTCCAAAAAGCAAAAGGAGGATATGCCGAAAATTGAAATTCAAAAAAAATAAGAATAAATCAAACATGATAACCCTAATTCAGGATAAAACTGAAATAAATTACTATTCGAGATCATGCAGTTGCATTTACCAACCATTTTAACTGTTCTTTCTTTTGGATCAGTTCTCTTAGAAAAACCTATAGAATCCCTTCAATGCTTTTTTTCCTTGTTTATCATATAATCTTATTTGGTTCTTGCTTAGAAGTATGAACTAAAGTATACTAGTAGTATTTAACGCAAAAATCAAACGTAACGACTGAAATTGTCAACAAAATGATAATTTTGGAATACAAAATGGATGCATGCATCACAATGAAGTGTTTCATCCTTATGCTACAAGAAAGAGAGACGAGATTTCCTTTTTGTCATTCTAATCAGTTCAAACTTATCAGATCATTTAAATCACTCCCAGAGTTCCTTTTAGCTCTGCAATCAATTTTAGCACGCATTTTTCATCCAACTGCGGCTGCTGCAGCAACGATCACAGCATTTATTTTCGCTGTTAGCTGGCTGCTTCAGTCGTCAGGGCGGCGCGGTTGTTGAGGGCTGGGGTATTGGTATTGATTGGTGGGAGGTGTTCCTCCTAGTATTATCAACTAACAAGTCCATTTAAATAGTTTTGTTCCTGAGTTATTCCGGAAATATGTCAAAGGAAATGAATGAAGAGACTTTGAAAGAGGAGGACTGGCGTTACAAATATCGTTCAGCATTCACCTATGCTGCATATAATGATCTCGATAAAATGGGATGCGAAGCTCCAAAACGTTGTCCAATTCAGGTTTGCTCTCATGATTATCAAGTTTTGCTCGTTCAGTATTACAGATTTTTTTCAGAAGTAAAGTTGGAACCTTCGGAGATGATGTTAAGTTTGTGAATTGTTTGATAATTACAAAGGTGCACCGTTCCGATTTCTGTGAAGGTTAAACACCAATAAGTGTGCGCCATTCCAGACAGTTTATAATGATGAAATGATTTATTATTATTGTTTTTATAGGTCGGCCCGCGATACTGCCAATATTCCTATTCCGTTATTGAGACGGAAGCTGTAGAAGAAGCACCACTTGCTATACATACCGCTGCTGTGGAAAGTATTTTCGTTGTATTGGCATTTCTGCTATTTCTGATGACGCTTCCTTTCTCCCTTATTTTTTCCTTGAAGGTTGTTTTTACAAATCCTTCATGACAATATATCTATATTTGAATCATTTGTGATTTGTTTGAATCTATAACCTTATGATTTACAACTTTTAGCTGAAGCTATATGTTATATTCGGTGACAATATTTATTGTTCAGTTTAAATATCGGATAAGTTTTAGTTTTTCAAAGAACCACTGATAATGCCGAAATGATAGTACATTTACTTTTTAATTGACTGAATTTCAGTTTGTGGGTGATTTTGAACGTCTTGTTGTACTTCGGCTTGGTCGGGCACAAAAAATACGTGGACCGGGTGCAACTGTAGTGCTGCCATGTATAGATACATACACAAAAGTGGATCTTCGTGTGAATGCATTCAATGTACCGCCTATGCAAATAATAACTTTTGATCGGGGTCTGGTGGAGCTTGGAGCTACTATTTTCTCCCAAGTAAAAATTAATCGTTTGCTTATCGTAAGCCATTTTTTCTTCAAGAAGTAATTAAAACTGGAAAATCCAACCGAAATCCAACCGCCAACTAGTCTAATCAGGAGGTGAATCATGCAAGATGGTTTCGTGATTAGCACTTTGGGCCTTTTTCTAAAGACTAGTATATACGGTTTCACTTCATCCACTATGCACTTGTAGCATCTCTTAGAATCTCTACAATTGCATAATGTTCTGGGATTCTTTCTCAATAGTTCCCTACTGTATAACTTTCGTAAGCATTATTATTTTTTAATGAACTGTTTAGGTGAAAGATGCATTGGCAGCAGTTTGTGCAGTACAAGAACGAAATCAATCAACTCGTGTCTTATCTGTTGCAACGCTGCGTCGTTTGGTTTGCAAACGACGAGTTAGTGATGTTATCTCGAGCTTAGGTCGCAGAGAGTTGTGCGAAAATCTGCAGGTTCTTGAAGATTTAAAAACATGCTCAGTCAGTCATGGTGTAATAACAGTACGATTGCACGAAAATAAGTTTGTTTTCAAAGCCGAAGTAAACTTTCACGGGCAAAGTCTTTAATCACTTCATGACATTCTACGTGTGATTTTTCTTTTTTTTTTGCTTTTGTTTTGTTTTTTCATTCACAATTAGATTGAAGGCAACCAAACTGTTTTAAATGGAAGTTATGAGATAGACATTCAGGAATTTTAGTAATGCTTTTTGAAATAACTAGCAATTCAGTGGTCGTTTCCATATGGCAGTTTATATGATTTTATACAGGTTGAACTTGGTATACTCACAACTGCGTGGGGTGTTGAAATCACCAAAGTAGAATTATCGGAAGTGAAAGTAATTAAGGAAGGTGAAAACATGGCTTTATCTACTTTCAATAAGGTAGGTTGGTCATGTATTGGCATTTTCATCTTCAATAGCTACAATCACGATTTTGTAACTCCGACTAAACCCTTAATATGTATGAGGAAAATCGCCTTTTCGACTATAAAAATGTAAAGTGAGAGTGAAACCTATATGATACAACCACTTACTCTGTACAACAAACTAAATTCTGGATTTCTGTAATCATGCCAACGATTATAAGGTCCACACAAACAAGTAACAAGTTTGTTTCAACTGGAAAGCAGGCAATAGCTCGTACTCTCCTCATCGAACCACTCAGTTTCAGGTGTTAAAGTCGGAAGTAGGTTCTCAAATCATTGAAAAGATAAAAGGCGCAGCACAGAAATTTATCGTGCAACAACAACAAAAACAACAGTCGGATCATCAACAGCAGATCGAAAAGTATACAAAAAAGGATATAACTAATTTATCTGGAGAAAAGCTAAGCGAAAAGAACAAATTAAAATGCGTTTTAAATAATTCCTTGAAAAATCTGGATATCGACCGTTTGCTGTGTTCTCTGACAATGGTTATCGATAAGCAGTTGGTTGTCTCTGTAGGACATATTTTCCAAGTGAACTGTACTGGATTTGGTGATTTTTATGTGGATTTGAAAAACGACTCTGGGAATTGTTGCAAAGGTACCAATCCGACAGCAGATGTTACTTTTAGATTGAGTCATGAACTGCTGATTAAAATTTTAAAGAAAGAAGTAGCTCCGATGCAAGCTTATTTGGATGGTTCCTTACAAATAATGGGCTCACTGAAAGCAGCCATTAGACTAACCTTATTATCGGATCGTTTTAGCTGTTTGCTATAATCGCAATGAAAAGTTAACTATTCGGCGCGTTGATTTCGGACCTAAAGAAGACAATACTAATGGATTTTTTTTCGTCTATGTGAATAATTAAGCTAGTTCATGAAATGAATTAAATCCAACTGAAATTATTACATGATAGTGACTATTTAATAACTACGCTGTCAAGTAAGTGTAGTATAACTATCTCAGACTTTTTTACTCCAAAATGAGACCCAAGAACGTTTTTCTTTTTTTACGCAAACCGAAATTTTAAATTGTCCATATTTTCTTGTTCATCCATTTCATTCTTCTTGCATATTAAAATTGATTTCTTAGATCTATCCAATCTAGATACTTAGTCGTTTATGGTCTGTGAATACACAAGTTTCAGTATGATTTTAAAACGACGTTTCTATTTGGTCAACTTGCGTCAATTTCTCTGAAATTTATTGTATTGTTTAGTCTAAGTGCTCAATGTTTGTAAGATTTTGTTTTCAGAACTATGAGAAATTTGTTAAATCTCATTGCCCGAAATAGCTCTCCACTTATTTTGCGCAACGGTGAAATTTAACAACATATCCTATGTGCCCTCCCCAGTGGTGTCTATAAAATCGCAGCACATACACACATACCCGATTATGAACGTGGGGCGATAAGTAGACACAACCATGACAGTCATGGTCCAAGCAGTTTCATAGTGTGTTACTAATGACGTGGGACTTGGTCGGGTATTTGGATATTGTGGCATTGGTATTTGAAGGAGTTGTACCGATGGGTGGGAGGAGTGGTCGTTGTTCTATGGTTGGGTGGATGTTACGGGTCGCGTGTCATCGTTTGGCTCTCAGTGTTTTTATATTGATAAGGCCGAATTATAAACAATCCATGTTGCCTGAAATTTTTAAATTTCTGTCGTGGAATTTTTGCAGCGTATTAGCTTAAGGTCATATAGAGTGTAATGGCTTTGTCTATGGAAGATATATAAGATATGTGATGTGTGATATCTTAGAACTTTAGAATCATTAACAATTTTGCTTTTACACGGAATTAGAATGAATTTTTGGTTATAAAAAATACTATCTTTCCATCGAATATTGGCTAACAGTGCGGGTTATAATATTTAGTCGCCTCTTTTCATCCTTGCATTGATTTATCTTGACAGTGCTTCCGAGGATATATGTAGTTTATAAGAGCATTGGAGGGGATTTGTAAGAAGTGAAAGGAGTAGAGATATCTTCCTGTTGTGCTCCCATCGAGGAACTTCGTGAAAGTTAGTTGTTACACATGAACGGCTTTAAACCTTCGACTACGTCGTTCATCTCCGAACGGTAATCGATTCTACCGATAAAAGATGGTATTATGCATTTTTGAACTGGGGTTTGCTGTTGCAGTTATCGAAATGTTAAAAAGTACAGCGTTTCGTGTTATATTTTGTGTTCCATGCTATGGTATCTTTATAGGAAATTTTCATTTAGGAGCAAAAGGGTTTTTACATGAGAAATTGTCAAAAGGTTTCTAAACTTTACTCACTGTAAAGTTTGAGACATGAAGTCTTTTAGAAATGTTCATATTGGTTGGTTTATTGAATAATAATGAAAAGCTCAGCGCTTTTCATTATTTCACAAGATGGTTGAGGAATTTCTGAAGTTATTGCAGAGAGTATTTGACAGGAGAAAAAAGTAGTTTACAATGGGGCTAACGATATCGGGCCTCTTTGGGCGCCTCTTTGGCAAGAAGCAGGTACGAATTTTGATGGTTGGTTTGGATGCTGCTGGGAAAACCACTATTCTGTACAAATTAAAATTGGGCGAAATTGTTACCACTATTCCAACTATTGGTTTGTTTCTGTTCTTTTAATATAGTGCAGTGAATGCTTTGGAAAGTCCGCTATAAACTAACTAGTGTTACATGGTAAACCCAGATAAAGTGAGTCAATTTATCTTGTTTTTGACGGCATATGTTAGAAAAAGTGGGGCATAAAGGAAACAAGTAAATTGATTTTCAGGGTTTAATGTAGAAACAGTGGAATATAAGAACATTTCTTTCACTGTTTGGGATGTTGGTGGTCAGGATAAGATCCGCCCACTTTGGAGACATTATTTTCAAAATACCCAGGTAAAGTTTCGATAGCACTGTTTTCTTCAAATAGGCTTTCTCTTTTTACTTTAGTATGTGTGCAAAGCTATTTTTTTTTAGAGAATCATATGATTTACGATCACGAATTTTCATATTGAGAGTTTATTAGTTTACAAACTTAAAAAGTGTAGTTTGCTGCAAAAATTATTTTCTGATCAATATCGACCTGGCTAGATAGAAAATATTTCAAATTAAGTTCAAGCAAACAGAAAATATGACTCGAGTGCTGATTGCTTCACGAAAGATTTTTATTTAGGTTATAGCATTCTGTTATATTATTATGTGTTACAGGGCCTGATCTTTGTTGTCGATAGCAACGACAGGGAACGTATCGAAGAAAGCCGAGCAGAATTACATAAAATGCTTTCCGAGGTTTTCACATGCTATTTTTTCTTAGAGAATAATGAAGGTACATTTTGTTGTAAGGAGTAGCAATGGTTCAGCGCTTGTATTTATTACAACTTTCTAACCTGCTAGAGAGGCACACCACTTGACTATCACGACTTGAATAATCTTTCGATCCAACTGGAATTTCAGTTTGATGAAATTCTCCTTTCTTTTTATTTTGCTATAAAAAATTCGTAGCATTCCGTTTTAATCTGTTATTTTTTTCCAGAGTGCTAGTTTTTTAGAATGAAAAGTCATCAGTGCTAGTTTTTTAGGATGAACTTCGAGATGCTACTTTGCTTGTGTTTGCAAATAAGCAAGATCTGCCAAATGCAATGAGCGCGGCTGAATTGACTGATAAGCTTGGTCTTCATAATCTGCGATCACGACAGGTTTTTTTGATTTTTTTCATAGCAACTTTTAATCAATTTTTCGTGACTATTAAAAGTTGCTTTTTTCAATTACAAAATACTTTTTAAAGTGTTAAATGTAGATATAAACTAATGAAACGAATCTTCGCCAATTTAAAGATTAGCATTGCCTCTAGCAAAGCGGTCTTTAGAAGCCATGATGTGAGCCTTTAGAAATGTTTCTTTGTTATACTGATAATGAAGTATCCGAATATTCTGCAGTGATGCACCACTTGTGATCATTTATGCTACTTATGAGCATTTGTAAACAATTGCAGTGATGTATCACTTATGAATTGCATAATCTTGTTTCGATTGCAGTGGTATATCCAAGCAACTTGTGCAACACAAGGACATGGTCTATATGAAGGTCTGGATTGGCTTTCGAACCAGCTTTCAAAAAGCTAAATCCGTTGCCTTCTCTCAACACAGTGCTCTTTTTCATGTTACTAACGCGTTATTTTCAATTATTTATTACGATTATTTCCATCACTCCAGTTATTATCAAGATTATTTGTATCCATGGATGGTGGAATAAATGACGGATGTGGTGTTTTTCCATTGTTTTCATCCTTCTTTTTTGTGTTTCATCTTCATTTGTTAAATACAAGTTGACATGCACAATATGTGCTTCAACAAAAGTGCTGCTAATTTTTGAGTGTTAGCAAAACTTATGTCCCATTTCTTCACTTTTCTAGTTTTCCTCTCCTTCGTAGAAGAAACATTTCAGGAAATCTTGTGAAGAATTCTTCACCATATAGTATATCGCAGCTTTTTAATATAAATTTGTTTTTTAATATAAATTTCAATAGATTAAACTGTTGCGAACAATATTTTCTTTCATACTCTGTTGATTTTTGTTGGTGGTGCTTTCCTATAGCTATTTTGGCTCGAATAAATGACTAATTCCATTTCTCTCTCGGTCCTGAATAAATCTATTATTGGATTCGTAATGTTATTGTGGGCAGCACTGCATTTCAAATCAATTGTGGAATTTTCCATTCTCCAAATATTCATCAGCTGTCTTCGCTCTGGAGTAAGAAACAACTCTGGTCGGTTTTTATGCAGTGTTTCAGGGGTTGGGGGTGTATTGTGACTTTAAACCAATATTTGTTAATGAAATGGTCTAAACGCTCACACAAATAATTCTGCCAAAAATATCAACTTGCCCCTACTGCCAAAGGAAAAAAGATTTGGTTTGAAATGAAGCTTTCCTGGGAGGATGCTTTTTCAAGTTTAGTTTAAAGCTGAAAATGTTTGCGTGTTCGTTTGTTTAGTTAATCAACGACATTGTATTGTAAGAGCTGATTGTGAAAATGAAATCTGTATCAAAGATAATTGTGAGAATTTATTGGTGGGACTGGCTAGTTTAATCTTGCGCAGCACTAATTTTACATTGAACATGTAATTGAAGAGTTTTTGATTATGACATCGCTTTTAATGTGATAAATGAGTGAAAAATCACAAACCGACACAAAAAAACAGTATTATATTGTTATGACTATCAAGCAAATGTTTTTATATTAAGTCAACTCAAGAGTTATGTTGCCAGTGCTTTCAATAAAAATGTAAAATTTGTATCCGGAAGTCTTTATAACAGCATTCACATCGTTGTTTTTGTCAATGATATAAAAATTCTAAAGCTAAAAGATCGTAACAACGAAATGAAGGGACCAAATACCAATCTTCTACAGATTGTCTCATTAAATATAACAAATAAAAATTTATATTTGGATACAATTTTTAAACGTAGAATTATCCATTATAATTGCAAAATATAGAGTTTGTCGAATTGAAGTTACTCCGGAATTGTTTTACGCATTGCCATTAGCATACAAAAAAAAGTTTTTTTTAACCGAGCTTGCATAACAATGTCTTAAGCTATAAAGTGATGTTCAGCATCTCGGGCTATGTCTCTACTGAACAGCAATTGACTCGTGGATCAATTGTATAATAGCAGTAAGTTAGAAAGCAATTCACAAATCACTATAGATTTAATATAAAAGAGTAATCATCAGCACTGTAATAAAATTGATTTATTTTTATCATTTGGAAATGAAATTGATGTTTTTATACTCGGAATGGCCAATATGTTGGGAGTAATAAGTGTAATAAAGATAGAAAATGCAATAATAATATTGCAGGTTACTAAGAAATGAAATAGGTTTGTTACCAATTTCCATAAATGCAATCAGATGCATGAGAATGAAGTTCAAAATAAAGACCAGTAGGTATCGATGTATATGTAGTTTTGTAAATTGCATGAAATCATTTGTTATTTGTGCATATTTTTGAAACTTTCCACTGGAGCTCAATCTACTACCCACTTTGTTGTGCAGCTGTATGTTTATAATTTGTGTATTAACAAAACAAGGAGTAAAAATATTCAAACGTACCAAAAGTCCTATTCAGCTAAGCAGTCTAAATTACTGTTCTTATTTGAAACTGATTAATACGATAGTATGAAACCTGATATAATGAAATTAAAAAGAAAAATTATTTTCTTTTACCTGAATAATAGACAAAAATTGGTGGAAGAAAAGAATTGAATCTGCTGTAATGAAATTCAAGATAAAGGATGGAATGAATGAATTTCTTTCATATTGTTAGTGTTCTTCGTATACTAAAAAACTGCACTGCAAACATCAGCATTGTTTAAAAATTTTTAATTTGTTTCTCTTTAGTAATTTAAAATTATTGATTTGTCAACTCGTTGTTTATTTAATCTGTCTCAACTATTTGGTTTCGAAGATTTCAGACTTCAATATATAAAGCTTATAGTGCCCAGAAAGAGAGATGTTGAATGTGACAAGCTTCCCAATAAGGCAATAACAAGAACAATTATTCGTTTATGTACTAACAGACGCACTACAATGAGCCTTTATTATCAACTTGTTTTGCTCAGAAATATATGCTTCATATAAATGAGACGTTCCAGCTGATTATAAGATTTTGCATAACAATTTTGCATATCCGCATGAAGTATGAAAAACATTATCATTACTTAGGATGTCTCGTTAGCGTTAAGCAAATAAATAGCTGGAATACGAAAAACAGAATTAGGATAATATTCAACGTTTAATTTTTTTCACTCTTTGAAAAAAGGAAAAATCGCGATGTACATGATGATCATATAAATATTTAATGAATATGAGTATGTATTGTATGCTCTAAGCAAAGGATGATGATATTTTTGAAACAGTGAAGAAGTTGTGACAAAAAGACGATCTCCATAAATTTTTTCTTTAACCACCAAAAACTTTGCGAAAAAGAAAAAAAAAAACAGATGCAGAGAATTCTTCTGGATAAGCCGTCACACCAGGGAGACGATAGATTTTTCCGTTTTTCCAAGTTTGGTTTTTCTTTTTTTAGGAGAGTCTTTGCTAACAAAATATTCGGTCTTTAATAAATGCCAATATATAAAATTGTGTATGCTTTCCTTACTCTTGAAAGCAATGCGAAGTACTCTTAGCAAATAAATTAAATTCGAATGTTTGATACCTGATTAATTGATTTGAAAGAGAATATCAATTGGCAAATTTCGTGTCTCATAATATAGTATTGCTGTTTTGTTCAACAGTAAAATTTGAAAAAAATTTCCATAGCATAAAACGTCGAAGAATTGTTATGTTTCCTCTTTCTTCGGCCTTTTTTCTTATATTTCATCAACGTGTCTCCTTCATTTCCCTTTCTTCCAGATTTCCAGAATATTCTAATATTTCGTTTGCTTTTTTCTCTCAATTTTTTTTTAGCCGCAACAAAACTAAAAAAAATCCGATGAAAAGTATGTATGTTTCAAATCTCCATGTACGTTTAAATTTATTCTATTTAAAATTTTCAGTACTTTCTTAAACAAGGCACACTTAATGAAAAAGGAGAATATCAGTTGACTCACTACATTATGTCATTTCGTTGGCTGGAAAAATAAGCGCTTCTCTAAAGTTTTTGGCCTCCATTTGTTTAGTAGATTATGAGACAACAATGACATTTTTCTTTTAAAGATATTTATTTATATGGATTATTAAGCACAAATTAAATTTGGATGCTTTATACCTAATTAATTAGTGAGAGAGAGAATATCAATTGGTAAAGTCCATGTTCTATAATATAATCTCGTCGTTTTGTTTTGATTGCGCAGATCATTCAGTAACAGGTGGGAAGCAAAGCAAAAATAAAAACACACTAAGCTTTATATTTTTAGCAAATTTCAACTAAATTTATTATTCTGTATTTTATACCTGGTCAATTGATAAATTCGAATTTAACTCATACTTAATAATTCATATAAACAAATACCTTCAGAAGAAAAACCTAATAAACAACGACGGGGTTCAAAACTTTAGACAAGGCCTATTTCTCCAGAAATGAGACAATGTCTGCTCAGCGACTATGAGGACGGGAAAATTAGCTTTGATTTATTAATGCCTAACAGCATTTAGCAGATATTTTTACCATGTGTCTTTGAACTTTCATACCCAAACGCGCATATACATATATATGATTCGTCTTCACAAATTCAATTCGCTTCTTCATTCTACCCCAGCTCGTGCCAGTACCTGCATAAAAGATACTGAGAACGATAGCTGGGCCTTGTCACGCCTCTAAGGCTTTATGAAGGGGAAACCATTATTTAGGCCCTTCCTAACTCGGTCCAAACCTATCCCGATGAAAAATCTTAACACACAAGCCTAGACATGCAGACACAACCAAACAAATTATGGAAAGGAAACGGATTTTCAGTTTTCGTTATTTGCTGAATAAAAGTGAGACTCCACCCTCCGAAAAATTCACTTAAGGAGGGGTGGAAGATAAAGATGTATGCAAGTAAGCCAATTCATCTCACTCCATCTGCATTAAAATTTAATCATGGTATCCACAAACAATGGTTGTTCCAATATCCACACTTCAATACTTTGCCCACTCATGCACCACCACCATTACCAAAAACGACTGAGTAGCTCAAACTTAAATTTGAAATCAGTTTCACCGACTGCTAACACCACTACAATATTTGTACTGATTCAGATAGTGAGCACTTGTTCCGCTCTTACCTGCATGACATGTGCGACCAGCAGTAGCACTCACCAAGACGCTATTCAGCTTGATAAATTCCGCATTATCGCACAACTACCACATCCAAGCTGTTACATGGAACCAATACGATGTGACCCGGATCAAGATGTTTGCGTAACGATAACGATGAATATTAGAGATGATGGCCTCTACTGGATTGGTGCCGGATGTGATCGACAAGAATATTTTCAACACACTGCATGTGAAAATGTTCGAACTTTGACACGTAACGTACAACTAAATACAGTACAAGAACGACGAGTGCTGCAACGCGTGTGTGTATGTACTTTCGACAGATGTAATACAGCGATAAGGGTAAACTTACTGCGAATTGATAAACTGTCATACATTACCATTCTAATCTGTTTCCTTGCCATTTTTTATATTTACAACAATATTACTTGAATAGAAGTAGCTTTATTTCAGATCTTTGACTATTATGACCGCAAATTCCTGAATTATTTTTTATAAAGAGTGTTCCAGACCGAAACAAACATTTTGACTGCTTAGAGAGCTGGTATGTCAACGGCCCTAGTAATTATACTGAGAAAAAAAATACAAAGCGTGCCCAATAATCAACTGAAGCAATAATTATAAGAACGTAATTTGCCGAAAATTCTGTACAGTGAATAAAACATGTAATATAATTCGCAAAAATTCGCGAAAACGAATGATTCGTATTGAACTGTTAGTGACCGATTCGACATGCAGCTGCACAGGCTTCGGCGACCACAGTGCCCGAAACTTCCTGAGTTTCGGTTGGTGATGATTTTCAATCTGATTAGTCCAGGTGTCTGGCTACTGGGCATCAGCGTTTCGGTGGACATCATCCGGGTCCAATGAAGGTTATATTTCAGCATTAGTAACATAAACGAGATGAATCTTATTCCGATAAAGATTCATCATCATCCATCATCATCCGTTCACTCATACTCAGAGTTATGTGCTTATGAGCGCTCAATTCTTTACGCTCTTTCTCCCGCTGTGCATTCCACGTTTCCGCCAAAAAACTCGGTGCATCCATTGCTATCGCTTTCAGCACCTGAACAATTACTTACATTTCAACTCACTGTTAGATGATTGGCAAATAAGAGAGGCAGTTGATCAAAAATTGTAATGGCGCATAGAAAAAAATCCAAGTTACTGTTTTATTTCCTTTCCCACGAGTTAAAATCGCCATTCTTGTTTCCGTTCCTGCATTTGACACATCACCGGAGTTAGTATTACGAGCGCTTTCATCTGGAACACTATAGATGTTAATTTAGTTCTTTTCTTCGAGAGTCTAGCTAAAAGAACATGTTAAAATGCGATGCCACAGCGTAATTTCAGATTCGAATATAGAAAGGCATCTTGTAATGTTACTTTGAACTGAACTTATAATTAGTAAAAAACAAACCAAATGCAACGGTTCTATGAAATTTTTGACGTGCAGATGTCGGTACTACTATTTCCGAAACTGGTACGCCCACAGCATTTGCCCTGCTCTGTAAAACTGTTATTCAATCTGGCTTTGAGAAAGAAGTGCTAAAAGAAATACTAAAGTAAAATAAAGCATTTGCGTTCAAAGTTTCAAACTTCAACAACATTTCAGTCCAAATGGATCAATGAAACAATGTTACCTCACAAATGAAGAACAACAAACAAAAGCCCTTATCGATGCCAACAAAAAAAAACTGGTTTGCATCATATATGTTATTATTAAATTTTATGAGTTGGTGACCCACATAATAAAATATAGCTGTTGACCCATATGATAAAAACGTCAATGAATTAAGCTCAATGAAATGTCTTAACGCATATTTACCGACAAACCAAAACTAATTTCCTCATCTCTTCTTGCAAAAATAACAAAAACTAAAATAAGAAAAGTGGACACCCGTACATTGCAAATGTATGAAATTAATTTTCGGATGAAATCAAATACTTAGTCTTCATAATCAAAGCTACTTCCCTCTTAATTCCATATCTTCCATATGTTTTTCGTGTGAATTCAAAATTACTTAGTTTTCCATTTTCCATAATATCACTAAAAGCAACCGGTTATTTAATGCACCGCTTCTTACAATTGCAGCCTGCCAAGGTTGCACTGTTCTGAATCAGACTAATAGTGTCACTTGTACAAACGATTTCATTGAATGCAATCACTACTTATGCATTTAATCACTAAGCAAAAATTTATTTCAAAATCTACGTATTTTACTGTCGTTTTGGAATGCAAACCAAAAAACTCTGTAAGGGATAAAATATAAATGAGGGAAAATACTACCGACAAGTAGTAAGAAGGACAGTAAAGAGTTTAAAGCTTACCTGCATCGTTTCTGCAATTATTTGTTCAAGTTGACGCACAAACAGTTCGTCTTCGGGTAGGAGAATACGATTTGTATGTACACGAACGCTTTCATTTTCATCATGAATTGATACAACAATCTCTTTACTGCAAAGCATGAACATATTTCTTGGGCTACAATATAATTTTTAGCACTGATTAATTTCATACGAAAAACTTCAGTTTAACATAGTTTTCAATCAGGACAAGGATAGATTAAGTTTGGTTAATATTAAATGTTGGTAATGACGCATTATAGAAGTCCACTAAAAATGTTCCTTGCTCCAAATAATCTCTTACTATGCTTTAAATTTAAGAATAAATTTGACTGGAAGTACTAAAAGACTTTTTCCATGCAAAAAATGATACTTTTATTCCATAACATATAAAAATTATATTTTGAAATCAATAACTTGTTCAAAGTCTCAATAATTTTTTCACTTCCAGTTAAGACTTTAGAATTAAATCACTAGGATTTTAAATTAAGATATAAGGTGATGATTTTAATCAAATCTTCATGATGTAATGTAATAGGAATCATATATTTGGCGATTATGGTCTGAAAATATTTCTTGGAAATTTTATTTGAGAAATAAATCTAACAAAGAGGTTAACAAGAGATACTGATATATATTGATGATTAGGAATCGATGAGTTGACCTAGACTTCCATTCTCATGTGCTATCACATTCTATGCACAAAGTTGACAAGTTTAATATCCAAGTTTTTGAGGTCTTACACATAGTCAAGGAGACTACTCAGTACAATTGACTTCTTCAGCTCAATACTAGTTCCTCCAAATTCTTAATTCCTATAATTCAAGTGGCTTATAAGAAAGCACACCTTGTTTGATCAAAATTTATCAACTTCAATGAATGTGGTTATTTTTCTGATAACTGTATAAAAGAAATCATCACAATCTTGAATCATGACAAACCTGAGAAACCTCATGCAGTTTGATTTTCTGCTAAAATAATGTTCATAGATATCGATTTGTGTATCAAATACCTCAAGATTAGAACACTAATGTTATGCTTCGTGAAATTTCTGCCACAAACCTGTTGTTGCTTTCCTTGTTCGAGCCAACTTCAGCGGTACAATTTATCCTCCGCGGTTCATCCTCTTCATCCATTACCTCTTCTATTTGCTGAGCTGCTTTCCCTTCAAGCGCTGCGTCTACCTAAACAGATATATGATTAAGAAAATCTTCGAAAATTTAAAATTTACTAATTTGATTTATATAGCCGTCTTTTATATTTTCAGCACTTGCATTTTTCCTCTGCAATTTTAACAATGTGAGTCAAATATTCTGAAATAAGTAAGTCGAGATCCAATTTGCCACTATAATAAGGACTTGAAAAATCGCAAAGAGATCCATCATTGAAGGCATATCAAGTTAGGCAGAAATTCATCTTTTCCATACAAATTAAAACCGTGGTACAGATATCTCGAGTATTAGCTATCTTCACAGATGTAGTCAAATTGTAAAGGAAATTTGATTCTGTTCGCTAACCAATTAATCCAATCTTATTTCTTAAAAGCCGTGTAGACCCTATGCTTGAGCTTGAGAATAGTGTCTTACGCACATTTATTTCTGTCATGATGCACTTCTCTAAAAGGATAACTGAAATAAGTAAGCAGAACTGAGCCATTCTTGAAAACAATAGAATAAGATGGGTTACATGCAATATTTTCTGGGAAATTTAAGGAGAGTAAGAACTGCAGCAATGAAAGAAAAGGACTTCAAAACCGTGAATTTTTAAGAACTACATCAACATCATCATTAGCAGGCAAAGAATAGGAATAACAATCATTTTCTTATTGCTTGTAGATATTGACTCAAAGAATAAATTCTGCTAAAAAAATATGGATATTTTCGCTCTGTGAATGCAATTAGTTCATGACCGTACTAAATAATCTCACATTTCATTTTTGAAACATTCCTATATTTCGAAACAAATTTTTTGCTATATTTCAATTTTTTCTCTTGTCAGTACTAATAATGAGCAATCCTCCTTAGCACACCTATATGAATTTTCATACTCCGAAATGACTGCGTCTTGTTTCTGGTTCTATTTTACAATAACTAACAGAAATGTGCATCAAAAATTGCGGACTGAAAATCTATAAACACCCACAATTTTCCAATGCTTTCGTATCATTATTTTTGGAATTAAAATCATCAGTTATCAAATTTAAAAAATAAAGATTTTTCTCTTTATCAGTATCCACAGCTAATACTCGTGATGATTTAAATCCTAAGCTAAATATAGTCTGGGAGATGCATGGCCGTACAGGTTGCTCAAAAATGCTATGAATGAATTACAGAATGAAAACATCTAAATTTTACACGGAGAAAAGTGTCTGCAGATAATTTAATCTTAATCACTCAGTGAGTGACTCTACAAAATAATTTTTGAAACAAGTAAAATACCATTTTTCTATACTGCTGCTGGATTTCATCAACAAGTTTTTGTGCTTCGTCGAAAGATTTTGGGATTTTGCTGCCTTTTCGTACATAATCACTCATCTCTTCCACACGAAAACGTACCTTGACAAATTTATTCACAAATTAGTAAGCAAAATGCAACGAAGTATGAGGATTATAGGAGTAAATAGCATCAACGTACATCCTTGGGAAAAAGAATATCGCGAGCTTTGAAAGCTTCTTCTTTAGCCAACAAATAACGGAAAAAATATGCTAAGAAGCAATCCAATTTTTTCTTAGTTGAACCAGCATTAAAATATTCGCCACAGACTAGAAGTAATTCGCATACAAGACCAATTCGCGTCAGATTGTTCCAATCATCTAGCAATGGATCGAAAGCACCAAAAGTAATCAACTGATATAAAGTCTAAATAATAAATTTTAGTCGGTATTAACTGTAAAAAGTCCAATCAGATTATACTACTGAAAATTTGAATAGTCTGTCGTTTACTAACGTGCAATTCTATTTTCCAGTTTGCACAGCAAATTTTCAACAAATACGTCTTTTGCTGTGCTTTAACACCATTCAGCAATTCATTCCTAGAACGCGATAAGCCCTATCGGTCGAATTTTTTGCTGAGGTATAAACATCATTGCAGCAATGAAAAAATATAGACGAACAAATTTTAACACATTTCCTCTCTCGCATTATATTGACCAAAAAGAATAAGATAGCTTTCCAGTAATACCTTAAATATAATGGGAGAGTCGCACACACTGTAATTATATAGTTGACCCAAAAATATCACTGACAGCACTGTGCTCTGATTAAGAGATGGACTATTTAGCTCTAAGGCGATGCGGATATCCTCAAGCGTTGCGTCGAGTACGCGAATACCTTAAAACTCTTATTGAATTAACGAACAAAACATTAAAAAAGACGAAATTCAATTAGATTAAGACGTCAAATTCAGTCTCTTATTGAATGAAACTTACCAATCCAATCATGACATGATGAAAGCGCCGCTATAAGTGAAGCAAGATATGGCACATTATTGTACCGTGGTAGAGATGGATTACTGAGGCACTCAACTGCATAATCTAAATATATCGAAATTATGAAGCAACATGGGTGTGAAATATTCCGTCATTCATCACCGACCTTATTTAACAATCAGTTCTTTCAGGATGATCCTGCTTTAAATGGTCTTTTTTTATCAGCTTCCTTTCCAAATTCTGTGTAATATTAAAAAAATTCAAAATTTGTTTCTTTCATACCCCTACGCTGATCACATTGTAAGCATGTTTTTTGGAACCAAAACAAACTAACTAGCACAAACAGGATTAGACCAGTCCAATTTTCTGAGGCATCGTATAGTTATTTCCAACCGATAGCGTGATAAATTGCTTATTAAATAACGAATAAAATCTTGAAATGGGTCACTTGCAGACTTCGGTTTTTCTTCTACTGCCGGTGGAATGCAAGTGTAGAACGCATTGTCTATCAGCATCTAAAAATACAAAAACACAAAAGTTAAGCTCAAAATAATTTATTTGTGAAACATTCTGAAATCCTTACTGTGGGTACATTAAAATAAAAAAAAGAATGAGAAATATACCATCAATCTTGAAAAGTGAAAAGCCTTAACAAGATCCAAAATTCCTCCCAAAACATTGGTTTTACCTGTTGGCGCGGATCACTGATGCGGTCACGTTTCTTCATCATAACTCCGAGCAAGATTTTCATTTTTCCATGACTGTCTGTTGAACGATATAAAAACTGTCCCATTGCATCAACCATTGCACAACACATATCGATGTTATGACCACGAAAATCAAAAAGTACCATTCGCAAACAAGAAAGGCCTTCGCCTTTCGGTATGATCCCAAACTTCACCTACATGAAATAAAATCATATGCGCCGGAAACTAAAAGTTTATTCATAAGATAAGTTTTATTAGCGAAGTTATTGATTATCACCTCTCCCAGTGAAAATGATCCTCAATGCAATTTGTGATTCAAAAAATCCTTTTTTAACTCATAAATTAACATAAATCCACTGGATCTTAAAATACTACGATCAATTACAAAATGAATCAAAATGCATAATCTATATTACAAACCAATTCAGAGATAAACCGAGCACATCTTATTTTCAAATCAACACGCTGTTTTTTCTTATTCTGAACAGCTGCTCGAAACTGTTGAAGTAATGAGTGCGAAAGTTCAAGGGCTAAATCAGGCATAACTGGTTCCAACGTTGCCACCAAACGTCCATAGAATGGCAGCAAATCTAACCGATTTCGATATTGTTCCAGCATCACTAAATAATAACTGAATTGGCAGGAATAAGGTGTATGACAGACCCCAAAATAAATTACTTCAAAAATATTTCGGTTAATATGAATTAGGCCTCTAACCAATTCTGCTTAGTCAACACTGTAACTACACGTTCCCACAAACGGAAATCTACTTGGAATTTAAAATCTTACTTTGACATAGTTTTTTCCTATTGTTTCTGGTGTTCAGATTTGTAACAAAGTCAAGTGCAGCCTTATCAATTAAATCCCTGTTGATTAGCCATGGAAGCTGTTCCATAAATGCAATCATCATGAGCTTCAAATCTTGTCCAGATATTTTTGGCGCTTCAATACGATTCACTGCAACTGAAGGATCCATTTCATTCAAATCTATTTTTGTCTCTTCATCGTCGACACCTAAAACAATAGATTTGCAATGAATTTCTCACTGTGATAAGTAATAATCATAAAACAATGTAAATAAAAGAGATAAAATGTACAAAGAATGAAAGCAAACAAAATCCTCTTAAAAAGCCGAAAGTTACAACCCCAGATTATAGCCTTCTGATAATTATTTCTGTGAACCAGTCGTTTTGCCAATCCTCAACGAATAATCGAACGAATAATCACAAGTATAACCATAAGACGAGCAATCATAATATTATGGTCATGATTATATTATTATATATTATGATCATCATAATCATCATCACAATACTATGATCATGATTACGATCAATAATATGATCATATTATGATTATTATGATCATAAGAATAATCATAATAATCATAATCACAACAATAATCATAAGAATAATAAGCATCCACTTTAATATTTTTTAGTTCATAAATCAGCACTGTTTCATTAGATCATAGAGAATAGAATAATATAATGCTATTTATTGTCTTCCAACAAATCTACTTGACTTTATAACTGTTTAAGATTGCAGCGCAACGATTAGTCTAAGAAAATTTAATACTTTGAGTATCACTGACAAGACTTTCGGAAACTTATACATAATCACAGTTCCTATAACTTCAGTTGTTTAGAATGCATTAAAAAAACTAAGTGGTTAATAAAAACTAGAATAGAACATTCAATGGATCGCCATTAATAATTTAAAATTATGGAATTAATGACCCGATTTGACAAAGAATTTTATAAAGAGTTCCGAAAAACATCAAAATTTAATAATTATTTTTTGTTTTGTCTTGCAATTTCACCCTGTGTTACATATTCTTCGCCGTAGGCCTAATGCATCATTTAATATGAATTATTACCTTAAAACAGGATAAATGAATGGTCCTAAATTTAATTTTCCTTTTGTAAATTAATCATGTTGCAAGATGAAATAGGAAAAATATACCACTAACCCTATTTAGATTCAGATATAAATGTGCTTTTGAACTTTAACTTCCATACAAACAAGAAAAAAAATTTTAAAAACAAACCCTCACTATGATCATCACCCTCATCTTCAACTTCTTCAGCAATTGTATCCAAACCACTTAAATCAACATCCTCAATCTTCCCTTCAACTAGATCCAAGGTTCGTTGTTCCGACTCCTAGAAAATCACAGATGGTTTTTAAAACGCATAATGCTTCTCAAGAACCAGTCACATTATGTAGTTAATATTTTCTTCCTAAGAACTTCCTTGAAATGTGAGGAATGAACTACCTGCGAAAGATTTCCAGCATTGCTAAAAGACACTGATTGCGATTTGGCTCAGCCCGTGAAATAAAAAGGTCTTGCGCCATCTTTTTGAGAGTGCTATGTTTAGCTGTAGAAGCTGTACGGTTACATCTCTGTTTGAAGAAATGTTGTATTGATTAACCCACGGATCTAGTACAATTTTTATTCCATTGTTTATGTCAAAAAACATAAATCACCTGAAAAAGAATTGCCGGAACAATCTGTCGAAGCTCCATCCTTGTTTCATAAAATTGTCGAGTGTCTTCATCTGGCCATACAGTAATGGTTCCTTCTTGTAACGCACGGCTGAGTGCTAGCGCGGAAACCTCTTCCTCTTCATCCTCACTCTGTATTTCACATCTTTTACATCGCAAGCATGATAATATGTAGTGATATCCAGAGTTAACTTGTGAATTGCAATCCATCGAATGAAAAAATTTCTCCTAATTCCTGTTGTACATTTTGGCCATTTATAAATTATAATCTCAAACAAATGGAAATATGAAAACTTAAAGATTTAATGACCTGCTCTTCTTCCATTGCTTCCATCTCAACACCCAAATATTCACTGAGCTGAGTTCCACTCGTTAAAACTTTTTCATAGCGCGCACGTGTCTCTTCCAGATGATTTCGATCTTCAGCAGAAGCATCTCCCCGCGTTCGTGTTTGACGCTTTATCGAAAGCAGCAACTGATTCATTTCAAGCAAATCCTACAAAGAACAGCAATTAATTTGTCATTCATTTCGTGCATCTCACTTAAACCCAATTTTCATAATTCAAAATAATCTTAGAAAGAGAATGTGGATTTCTCTATGATCCCTGCATGAATGATTGTATTTGTATTTACAACCTAATAAGTGAGCGAATAAAGTGAAATGACTTAAGATCACATCATTCCCTTTTTGAAAAAGATTTACTCAATCATACCGGGATGTGAACCTATCAACATCAACAAATGGACTACAGTGAACGAGAGTGACCAAGGATTGAAAATAAGTCGAAAACAGGTTGTGAGCATACACATTGGAAAAAAATAGTAAATGCAAAATTCGCGCACAAAGCAAGAACTCTAAGAAATGACAACTGAATGGTTGAACGGTTTCGTTAAATCTGCTCGCCTGTTTTATGTGGTCCACCAACGATGACCGATAATCAAGAAGAAGTTGAGCAAATGTTTTCTTGTGATCAGCAGATATTACTGATGTTTCCGGTAACTTAATATTTGCAGTTAATGCGATCTACAAAATGATATCTTCAACGAAAACAATTCCAATCACTCTGTGTTAACTGAGTAAAACTCAAATTCAGACTTAATTATGAGTAACACTAATATTACCATAATTAATTGCCCAATAATGGAGAATAGCCTTTATAACACCGACCTCGCTGAACAAGGTGCGCATGACAGATGCATCCAACTTATCCTGGTAGCTTCGTGCTTGAAGTGAAGATGTTGTCACCTCACCATTTTAAGCAGGTTTGGCCAGCAGATAAAACGGAATAGTTTGATTTGCACAAATAACCCCTTTTAGATAACCACAGTGAAATCTTATCGCGAAACGAGCAGAAATCCCAGCTTATTAGCTGTAATTTAATGCAAAATATGCATATGGTTTTTCGATACAGTGAATAGCACTGATGAATACCTGTTCCATTGAGTAAGGATGCAAGCCAAGTAAATCAACATTCATGGCTTTACAGAACGGCAAGAGAATTGGAATGTTGACATGTTCGGTTCTGTCAGTGAGTGTAAGGAATGAAATTGCAGAACCCAGAAGCTGAACGCCTTCTTTTCCAAAAACGCCGTGAAGACATAGTTCCCCTAGCAATCTGAAATACAATTCACTGTACGAACCTTGATAAACCTATAAACCGACTGATTTGCCCACCTTATTTAATTATACATCAATTGCAGTTCGCGCAGAAAATATGCAATTCATGCTGTCGTAATATCATGATATTATTTACACTATATAACTCGGCTAGCAAAAAAATTTAAGAAACGACTAATAAGGCAACAAATTTAAGTACAGCATTTATCAATAACTATACCCACTGCTGAAGAAAATGAAACCTGATATCGACGCGCAACTTGGATGGATTCTGAATTTTGTCATTTCGCTTTGACGGCAACAGTTTACGGAACTCCAGAAGCAACAGTGAAGCGAATTCTGCATAATAGCACGATAAATTCACACAAACTGTTACAACGGCCTGTACCTCGCTATATTTTATTTTTGCTTCGGCAATTGTCATAGCCATTTCTTCCACAAACTTCGATAAATTAACCTGAAAAAAACTTTGCAAAATCAACGATACTATTTGTCTCATAAATTTCTGGACTGAAAAAAATTTTAACAAATCGATTGTTCCACCATATAAGTTGTTCAACTATTATCCAAAATCGGCATAGCATAGCAAAAAGAAAGGCCTGATGAACTTCCCATATATAAGCGAGTAATGTCGAAGTATGCGGCAAGGTACTTCGACGAAAACGAGCACAAATAAATTTGATATCAGTGATAAATATGTCGGCAGATAAATCGGATAAGCAGCAAAATCTAGTATAATAAATAAAAAAAAAGTTAACCTACTTTTTCCATATCTTGCAAAATCGATGCCAGTTGTACGCAACCAATGTTTTTTAATTTTTTCATAAAAGCTGTCGTTCGCTTCAGCGCACTGTCCATTTTTCGAAGTTGTTCTTCGGACAATGGAATAGCATTTTCTAACTTTTTCCGATCATCAAGCTGGCATTTCATTTTATTCTCCACTTCTTGTATATAAGTTCGTAAACGTTCTTCCATTACATCAGCCATCTTAAATGTATATTCAAAAAAAATAGTGGGTGATAGGTATCACATGTTTTAATTCGCAATTAATTTTTCGTACAACCACTTCGATCAATAACAAGAAAAAGATTTACTTCCATTCACAATGACAAATTTTAGATCATCAGCTCAGCAATGCAATTTTTTTTCTTGATTTTGCCTCATTTGCAAAAACAACTGAGTAGAACAAGCGCATCATATAAGAAACGTGAATAGCCTAGTGGCGAAAAAAAAAATTTTTTCGTTGATGAGCTATTCGTGGGCGGATTATTAAACAGGCAGATAAAATATGATTAAAAAGAAACTAAAGGTGGATCAGACATAATTTAGGCTACTACCTGATCCCTCTACTTTACATACATGAAGCACGGTACATAAGGTTACTGCACCTCCAACATGCTAAAACATCTAACGTATTGAGAGAAGACAGAGCCCTCTACCTATCCCAAATCTAATCAATCAAGAACACTCCATTACCTGTTTGTTACAAAACAATTCCCTAAGCGTTTCATTCTACTGCGAGTCCGCCATGCAAATCTTTCGTCTCACGTAATGGATGATATATATCTATGATTTCTTCGTTTAAATTTTCTAGCTTTTCAAACTTCTGATTTGATACTAAGTTTGAACGAAAAGAGAACGCCGTTAATAAAGTTAGGAATGAGACAAAGAACTGATGAGAAGAGTCAATTTCATCCGAAATCCAGTATTTCCGAAAATTTTTGGCGTACTGTTTCATCTTCATTCTCATGGTTTTCAAAATGAACCAATTTCGTTTCATAGTTTATCATCCCTAATGGTTTTCCTCACATAGTGTGGTTTGCAGAATTAGATAAATCCAGGGTTTAATTTTATATTTTACCATGTCCATTGGGTTAAATACTTCCAGCAACATCTACTTTGATCTACAGGTCAATTCTCGAAATGTTAATTCATGAGGAAAATTTTTTTCAACTCTTTTTTATTCAAATCATCAAAAACGGAGCATTGCATTTACAATATGCAATTTGAGTAATGTAATAATTAAAGGTCTCTTTTTTATTGTTTCTATTCACTTATTTTAACGATCAGTTATATTTCTTTCCACTCCTATGCTAATTATTATTTGATATTAATCTTCGTTGATTGTTATTGGAGAATGACGCAAGGAACAATCACATCTGTCAATAAGTTTGATAATCACTGATGTTCAATTTCCATCTTTCTTTAACATTACGTTTTTGTTCTTCTTTATTAGGTAACGGCAATTGTTTGAAAACTCTTTGGAACACATAACCCATTAGACATAGGCGTAGTGAAAGTATGTCTATTATTTATCGTAAAATGTGAAACAGATGACATTGATACGACAGTAATGGAATCGAATGATCCAAATCATAAAAGTAGTTTCGTTGATCAATAATATTATTGACTTCCATTTTATTGACTTTTTTATTGATGCTTATTTTATTGATTTCCAGTTCAATCATCTTCAGATCAGTAAAACATAACTTACTTAAAATTTAGTTGCTGATATATCTTTAAGAAGGAAACAATTTTCTGGAAATCACTGAAATTGAACGTTTGTAACTGGATTCCTAACTCATTCACATATAGCACTAACAGATATAATTATTGCATACAGATAGTAGGTCTCCAATAAAAATCAACAGTCATTAATATCAAATAATAATTGGAAGAACATGTAGAACAATTTATATGAAAACCAGATGTGTCATTCATCATTAACTAACGGCTGACAGAAATATGGTATCGATTTTCAATGGCAAAATATTCAGATAAAATTAAAAATTGCTTATTTTATTAAATGGAAAAATATTATTGAAATTTGACAATATGACAATTTTATCCTTCCAGAATTGTTGAATTTGGTTGAAACGTTTGAAACATCTTTATTTCATTCTTAAAAACTTATTGGACAGTATTTGACTTTAGAATAAGATGAATGATACTAAGATGAATGAGTGCACATGAGTTCATTTTTGGATGTGAAGTACAAAAAGTAAGGTTTTTATTCCACAATTTTTTGTTAGTTTACTTTCAAAATGACTTTTATTAAATGGTTCTCTAGATGCAGGAAATGGAGGAATGATCTGAAATCGAAGACTGAATAACTGTGGCGGAATTAGTGGATGCCATTACCACAAAAAAAAGAAAACCGAGGTTCGTGAATTGTGCCGTTTGCGCTCTTCATAAGCGAGATAATAAAGAATTAGCGTTTTTCTAACACTGTTTATAGCTTTTTGGAAAGTGGACTAATGTAGCTGACATGTGACTGACATATGACAGTCACTATTACTAAGAAAGCAAAATGTGACAACAATTTGCCCATATATATGTAACCCTGCTTTATCCTGTGATCCGATACTTTCAGATCTTATACCAAGGAGATTTTAAAATTTCGTAAGAACTAAAAACTAATTCCGTGCCAAACAATTAGTTGGACAACTAATTGTTTGGCATGGTGCTGAATAGAAAAGAGGCCAGAGTGGTCATAATGATCATAGAATCGGACTGTGCTCAGAGTTGTGGGTAAAGGTAGTCGATAGTTGTTTTCTTTTATCCTTCTTTAGGTTAACAAAGAATATTTATAATTCTTCAGATCGATAAATGATGCATCGGTGTGTGTTAATAGGAATTTAGTTTCAAAAATCAGTTGTTCGCGTGCTTTTGTAATAACATTTTCAGATATATTTATGTATCTTTAAAAAAATAACAAAATAATCTCTGAATTAATATTCTTTTTTTAGCAGCTATTATGATTTAACTTTTCCTAATTCCTACAAATAGTGAAAAAAATGATTTTGTTCAGAGAAGTCAAATAAATCCATTCAATTTTCATATTGGTAATTACATTCCAACAGTTCTTGTAAATTCATTAATCTAGACTCTCCTTAATTTCAGCCCACCCACTTTTGATGAACTAAATAAGAATCATAAAAGATCTAAATCGAAATTTGAAGCTTCTTGGTTAAAATATATAATTTTAAAACATAAAGCATATAACTTTTTAATCAATACTTCCGGTGCTAGAAGTGCTACTATTTTTATGAGTCCTGAAATTTCACCCTTCTTCAGTGCATAATTCTTTTTTAGTGAAATTTTGTAATTTTATCACTGGTTTCTACTCATTTATTTTGATAGAATTAGCTTTTAGTCCTTATGAAATATATTGTGAAAGTTTTGAAAGAAGAAAGAAATTAAGGACAGAATATATGTGTCATGCGCTAATTGGCATCAAATGGGTTTGAAATAAATGTATGCATAAACAAGGACGAGCATTTCAACGTTCCTGTGGATCTCACAAACTTTCATTAGAATATATCAGTGAAATATGAAACAGTTAAAGATGGATTGTTGTTAACTGTCCTGCGATGCCAGTAATTTGTTTTCTTCCACTGTTCATATTCAGTTAAAGCCTTTGCTAATGCTTCAAATATCCTTGCACGATTTTTTGCTGAGCAATCTTTCCTCGCTCTGGGGATTATTTCTTCCATATTTGATTTACAGGAATGGATTTCGGTTATTACGTTCAAATAGTTTCGTTCAATTAACGAAATTCCACTCATTTAAAATCCGTCATTTCACCAGAACTCTTCAGATTACTGAAAGTTTTGTACAAGGAATAGTTTGTAGAAACTATTAGCATATCGTTGTTATAAACATTTTCACGTCATACTTTTTAATTAAGTTGAAAGAATCTTTAATAGTTATTTAAATTAAGTCAGAAAATATTTTACATTTTCAAATACCATGGCTAGCAGCGTCTATTTTCCTAAAAAGTATGCATATGTCTTTCATTTAAACAAGTATTTTCAGTTAAAAATTTCGAAAGTCCGGTAAGAAGAAGTGATTTGCTACACTAAGATTATAATGTGATTTTAAAAATGAAAAAGCATAATTTCGATACAAAGAAAAAAAAAACAAGGGAGCAAGGAAAGTGAATCATACTACTGTGAAAAGAGATCATTCATCAACTGAGCATATGCTTTTTGATAGCTATCTGAAACAAAAATATTTCATAAAATGACGTGAAAATTGAACTAATTCACTAAACACTACTAAAATAACGGCCGAAAATTTGAGGTGACCTCAAACAATCAACGATGAGGTGGAAGAAAACTGCTTTATTGAAAGAGCTAAGATATGCATGCCTTTATGCATGTACAAATGACTGAACAGTAATAGTAGTTGTATATCAATGTGATAATAATTGCAAGTCAAGCAAATAAGAATTGTAATGCTAAATGTTTTTTTATTATATTTTTGATTATGCCAATGTTTGTTTAAAATAACTGTTATCTGTCTTATATTCGATTTGGTTAAAATGGTGTCATAAATTTCTGCTGTTGTCTAACATTTTTTTTCTCTACTTTTTTTTCAAGTCTTCTAGATAACGATTTCTTTTCGTGAAATCAAAATATTTAGTAAACAAAGCTTGAAAGCTGTTAATTTTATAGTGAACAAGCAAGATTATTGTCAACATCTGTAACAGTTATATTTGTAATAGAAACACGGGCACTTCCAGAACTATCAATTAATTTTGCAACCATATAAAACTTTGTATCACTGGGTAGTACTTCCATAAAATCATGATGCCAGTCCTGTCCTACACTATCACCTCCAACTTTGAAACAGCTATCTAATTCTCGATTGATGCTATCATGACATACAAATACCGACGATGCATTCGCCTAAAAACATGTTTTTACGGAAATCATAGTAAAAATTGGAAATCGGTCCGTCCGACTCACTCTTCGTCGCCGTTACATCAATTTGCTCAGTTTGTATTTTCTAACCAACAAAGCAGTTAAAAACTTTTCGGCAAATTATTTATGAATATGACTGATTAAATATAGCTGAATTTTACAACTTACTATTTAATGCATTCATTAAACAAATTTTGAAAAAATTAGTTCTTACTTCGAGATATATACAGGGAAAAAACTTACTTCATTGCGATACAAAAAATGAATTCTCGCAGCAGTATTTAGACGAAAAATTGGTGATTCGAGTACTGCTACTTTGCCTTTTTTAAATAAAAATGCGGTAACAGCACCATTTCGTGCTTTAAAGTTACTTTGAGATAAAGCAACTCGACCGGAACTGTATAAGCATGTTTGACCTGAAATTTTGATAAGTGATTTCGGGTATTAATTTTCAGTACAAATTAAAAACGTGATAAATATTTTCACCCTCTCTGAAGTTACAAGAAAGAAGTCGGCAAACATTTGGATCGGGTATTTGAGCTAATCCAGAACCAAATAAACGCACGCCGTGGTGGCGTATTACTGATGGGCATATGTCACCCTGAAAATGGTTTAAAAATCTCATTTCATAACGAATTTTCATAGATGAATTTGGATTCCAAACTTGAATTTATACAGAAAATGGAATACACCAACAAAAAAGTCTCAAAAAATAGTGATTTAAATTTTTCTTGATTTTTTTTTAAACAAACAATCTTTGAATTTCTAAAATACTTTTTAATACAAAAATTACAAACTATTTTCAGCAAACGACCAAAACGAAACCGTACGCCATTATAATTCTTACCGTGACTACTAGATCATCAATTAGTGCCATTCCTTGAGAAGATGATTCAGCTTTTAAAGCAATTCGTACCGGATGATTTATTTCCGGTAAATCAACTAACGCAGGACCCGGCTGTTTTAGAACTATTTTTTGGCAGTCAACTGCTTCCAAAACCTTATCTTCAAGCAGACAAACATCTAGACGTGTGTTACCACTAAGCCAGAATCTGAAATGTTTTTTATCAAAATGAATCTTCTGTAAAATCAAAGTACTGCAAATGAATTTTCATTCAGGAAATCGAAAAGTTGAAGCTTGAAGATCTGAATTCGGCTTTAGTTAGAGTTCCATGGCAACTAAAATCCTGTCATTTAATCTGTGGGATAAAAACAATATTAATTTAATTTATTTCGATCACTGATTGGTACAAAGTTTAATTTCTACAGAAATTCCCAACAGGCAGTAAAATAAGAAAATTTCCTTTGGAAAAGTGGACAGTGGTAATGAATTGCAAAAATAATTGTATCGCTCCGTGACGAAGTCAGTTTTTATAGCGCCATATCGGTCAGTCCCGTCAGTTGCATATTTCGCTTATTAATCAGTTCATGCAAATATATTTCAAAATCTCTAGTCGAATATGTTCAAACTTTAAAATCAAATATTGACAAAGACCTAAATCTAAGTGTGGTTTGACTGATAATGCATCGTATTGGTTCTGTGATTAGCGTTGATGCTTGGCCAGATTTCAATTGAACAATAGCAAATTCGCCATCTAAAAGAAAGGTAATTGTTTGCTTTCACTTTCTTCAATAATAATTACACAGTTGTTTCATTGAAAAAAAAAAATTTACCTGGCAATTCGGAAGTACCAGTAAGAGAAATAAATTTATGTTTATCAAATGGTGTAGTACCAATTTGCCATGCCGGTTCCGCTTGTTCATGATTTGCCCACATACAATCTACAGCACGTTTTTCAAACGAACAATCCAAGTCCCAAAAATTAAACATTAATAATTTAATTTATAGGAAATCTTATGTAAACTGACAGTGCAAGAAGTTATGAAGAAATTTGGAATAAAATAAACTTCAGAAATATTTAAAATTTGAGTATTTGAAATACAGTCATGTACTGATTTTACTGGCATTGATTATGTTTGTAAAACATTGATTACACTATAAGATTTTTTTTACCTTGGTTGAAAATATTGCCCTTTGCATCAGTGCACTAAGCATTGGTGTTGGATAAAAATTATCACCCATATCCCAAGCATTTACTGCTTCACTACAAAATATCGCTTCATAACTTATATCATCGATTGCAATAAAGTTGTCATAATCACTGTTGATACTTTTCACTTCAACTGTTATCTATAAAAAATACTTTTTTTTAAATTAAAATCTGATAGATATAGCCATAAGGGATCAAAAAAATATAAAATTACCACTTTTGATGACTATTTAGCAAAGAAAATTTTTCATTAATTTAACAAAGCAGAATTAGTTGTAAAGAGATCAAAAATTACAATTCAATATATTTACGCAAGTTAGGTTAATTCAATGTTTAAACGAGAAATTTGAAAAATCACTGTGAACGTTGACAATTTGTTGAATTTTATGCTAACAAGGGCAGGTGATAAAGCCATTGGTGCCAAATAACATTCCACTGCGTTTAGCGAACGATCTCGAGCACAAATTTCCAAAGTCACATTACGAGTTGTCCAGAATCTATTCTCATACTTCATTCATCAGTAAAAAGTTTGAAATAACAAGTAATAAATGGGTGGGACGATAAAGATCGAGGGTTGTACCTGAAGGTAAGCAGCAACTGAAGCATTCTATATCCTCATATATGCCCCACTTTTTTTATTTTCAAAAAAACGGTTGTACTACGGAAGCTGAATTAAGGAAATAGCAACCTGAAGTTAAATTTCGATGTATTCTCCGTTTGGCAGTCGATTGGATCAGATTGTAAAACATTGAAAGGACCATGCCTATTTTGCTCAATGTACATAAATAGAAATGGCGCTTCCGGTACTGGTAGAGCACCGGTTGCATTGAACATTAATTCGCTGCTTGGTGACTCATCGGCTACTTGCCACATCTGCAGAATTCTAAGGTGACTTCCAGTCATTTTTGATTCAAAAATTTCTAAATTGGAACTCGTATTTTCAATAAAATAAGCAATTCATAACGCAAAAAATATTCGGGAAATGAGTTTAGATAGAGGCGATAACCTCTAATGCATGGCCGACTGTACGCCATCGACATTTTGAAGAAAAATTACTACAGTTCAGCTCATGAGCTGCTCTAACAAGATTTCCTTTGTAGGATGTAATGAACGGTCGACCTCGAAAATTCTCGCCCAAATCAACTGCAAAAAAAATATTCAAAAACATGCTGCAAATGATCAATACATATCTTTCCTTAAACCGTAGAAAGAGCGTTTTAGGAATAATGTAAACATAAAATTGTTTCATTGCGTTCAAAATATTTAGCTATCAAAAATATTATTTACCAAAAAATATTGATAAAGTTAGGAATAAATTTGAATCTGAAAGTTAAAAAGAAGAAAGGATGATAACAAGAACATATTTGAAATTCTGCATAAGGAGGCTCGATAGACGATATTGTCAACCATGACAAATGAACCTTCTCGATTTGCCATATTGTATGCCTTGATCCCAATGCTATATGTGAGAAAGAATATTAAATTTTGACAAAATTATAAATAAAAAGTGTGATTTAAAATAGCTAGAAGTTTAAATTTTTGAATCACACTAGCTTTCAAAGTTATAAATGCAAAAAAGATATTCGTAGTTAACGTTTTTCGTAGTTATTTCGAGTTAAGTATGTAAACAAGTTGACTAAAATGCTCAAAACCATCATACCTGAATTCTTCATCACGTGGAGGAATTTCAGCTGTGCATTCAGTATTGATTAGTACTGTACCACAGTCAACGAAAGGTTTTTCCGGCAAAATAATAAGCCGATGTTGTTTTTGTTTTATTAACAACACCTCAACCCGTGCGCCATTGTATAACCAAAACCTGAAAGCTAGTTCTTATATCGTAATCTGTTTGATAAAAGTTAACAAATTCTAACGATATACAGAACTGTTGAATCAGAACATTGCTAATTGCAAAGTTTTTAAAATTTAAACGGCTTTGAGAATTAATTATAGATAAATTAATTCTACGTAAAACAGACGTAAAAGTAAGTATGCCAGTGTTGTTTTGACAACGAATTGGTGAACTTTTCAAGATAGCAGTTTGTTCCTCTCGTTTTCGGTCCCCAGTAAACAAGAGTTTGTCACCTAAAAATGGGAAATCTTGTCTATTCTGTCCAATAATTCAGCACGCATTGATTTACAACTTCATCTTTCACAACCATTCACTAATTATTTTGCTTAATTTCCACTTAATTAGACTGTCGATAATTCCAGCCCTTAGTGTTTGCCAGCCAATCCTTGTAATTCCTCCTTAGTGAGAAATTCCATGAGTTTATTCTCTTTTCCTACTACTTAGTCATTATCCCATTGCATAAAGTGTTGGATCAGATTTTGTTCGATTTTAAAAATAATTAATAAATGAAGTAAGGCGCCAGGAGAAAAATTGACATATAACAAACTAATATATCCCTGCGCATTCTCTACTCATAACAATGTAATCAATTTAAATTAAATTTTGAATTATCTGAACCTCGTGCCAATCGACTTGGTCCTGGCCGCACTTGCAACACAGGGAATTCCGTAAAATCAGTTTTTTCAAATAAATGAAAGTCGAGAGAATCGAGTAATTCGTTACTCTTAACATTACGCCATTGACATTTTTTTACATCATCAAATGAACAGTCCAAATCATTGGCATGTCGTATCGGTTTATCATCATGTTCACCTAAAAGCAGAGTTTCATCACAGCAGTGATACTCGGAAAAAAATTAGATTATAATAGAGAAACAAATTAAACATATCTTAATGACTAGTTCATTATTGCCACAATACTACCACAGTATCAGAAAAAAGAAACAGCCGGCTATCCCACCTGTATCTCTTTAGTTATTAGCCTCCAATTCTATTTTTTAACTTTTCTCATGCTGCCTCATATCATGTTGGCAGTAAAAAAAAATTGAACGTCAAGAGTCACTAAGAATTTAACGCAGCTGGTCCTTAATTTAAAAAGATTTAATCACTGTCGTCATTGTTACCAGTTTCATTAAAACCGTTTTCAATCCATTCAATTCCGAGATATTTTTTCAATTTCATTCGTTCATAGCCATATCCAGCCATACATCCACTCGCTGCAACCTTTATCGTCAGTTCATGAAAATGAAGTAAATTCATGTCTACATTTTCAGGATTGGATTAACTTTGGTAAATCAAAAGGCATCCAAAAAATTTTAATCAACTGAGTTAAATTTCTTAATTATTGAAGGAAACTTTAAACGAAACAAAAATTAAAATTAATTGGAAGTATTTTTTAAGCCATTTGTGGCAAGCAATGTGAAACTCTAAACAGATAATCACTAAAATATACTTTTTTCTCTTCTTATAATGCATTCGTAGGGGAAAAGTTTAAAACTGAATTATTGAAATCAAAATTTTGATTAAAAAATAATAGAGGATAATACCTGACGGAAAGAGAAAGAACAGCAGCATTAAGGAAGAGTACATTATGAACATTTCTGGATGTGGTTCATGAATGAATGCCTTACTGCTGTTGCTCAACTAACTCCCTTATCATCCTCCTTTGTTCCCGTAACTTTCCGTTTTTATCCCACTTTCCATTCCATGCTGTGACATCAGCAATCCCCTTTCTCCTGTTCCCGAAACGCATGCAGCAGTTGTACTGCATTCAGATTACATGCGCACAGATCTATCAACTTCGTGCTACTTCTGCTACTCCCGTTGCTTTTGCATTCTTCTTTTTACCATCATGCAAACAAAAAACTTGTTTCATGACCCACAATTATTTCAAAAATTCAAAACTTTCTCCGTAAAATTTCTTTCGCAGATGTTTCGTTAATGACATCTTCCGATAAAATTCTATAGCATTGATATTTTTTCAAAAAATTACAGTTTGTTAAATATTTCATTAGCCAAATATATATCTGTTTTAAAACAAAAAATTTACTTAATGAAAACAATGATGAAATTGTGTTAGAAATCAACTCTTAAATCCTCACTATTAAAAAGTAGTTAGATTACACGCTTGAAATTTCAATTTTTTTCTAAATCACCAGTGAATAATGTATTATCTTTAATAGTCAATTACATCATAAAATATCGTATAGCGGTGTATAATAATAGTTGTGTATCTTAAGTTCATAGCTTCGAAAGAAATGGTGCTATGAAATCATCGATCATTTGGCTTCGAATTCATTCTCACTACAGCTCATTTCTTATGGACGATAATTTCTGCAACATATTCTTTTCAAATGCTACAATAGTTAAGCTAGGGACAGTTGTGAATTTAATGATTCGATGCTTTCTGTCTCGTAGTTCATGCATGAAGTCTTTAATTTGAGCAAATTGAAGTTTGCAAATTCTACAACATCATATATAACTATTATCCGGAAATCGTTTGTTTAAAATTTGCTTTCTAATAGAAATAAAACGTGTAGTTATTATCAGTGTAAAAGAATCGTCATTAACTTTATTAGATATTGTGCTTATTATTAAAAAAATGATGTAACTGTCGCTAGAAATATTTTCTTTCCTATTGAATTTTTCGAAGAAATTAGTGCAAAATGGCAATTTATCATCGCAATGTTTTCAGCAACATGATCTAAGTAGTTGAAAATATTTCTTACAAGAAAAAAAATAATTCAGTAATGTTCACTGTTGTTGAATTTAATATCTTTTTCTATAGCAATATCAAAATTAATAGCCTAAAAATATTCCTAACAAGTCAAATCTACAATCAATTTTCGCTTTAGTGATTTACGATTTTTATAGCACTGTGGTAACCATTTTACTGCACACCATTTTTTTTTCATTATCAAACATAGGATGCGATAACAGCAAACTGTATGATTTTTTTGTATTGAATATAGAACAGAATTTAAAAATTTATTCAAGCATAAAGATCCAAAATTAATTCCTTTGCAGCTGTGTTACTGTTGATTATATCTTATCCGGCAATATTACCAGCGGTAAATCGCCAATATGCTAGAGCTTTCTCAAGTACTCTTCCAAAATAACCGATTTAGTTTACAATTTCTTGACAAAGTTTACAATATCTGAAAACAAAACCACATTCAAATCCCTATATTGTTTAATTTCTCATATGCAACTTTCGATCTGATAATGTTATCCCAGTACGAGAATGAATACGCAAACCGGTGTTAGAACATGGAAGCTATTTTAAGAGAAGGAAAACACACTGCCATCAGTTCTTCGGCAAACATTTAGTAATCCGGATCATGATATCTATCTATTAAACAGAATGGTTTAACAATTGGTATCGTGTGACCCTGTTCTATGCGGTTGATATAAGCTACAATCAGTGAGCAGTTCACGTATGATTTAAGAATACCACATTAGAACTTACTAAGTGACCGATAATTCAAGTCATCTTTCAGAATTTACTCCATTAGACCGTCTTATCTTTTTTGTCTTAATTACAACTAAGGGAAGATAGCATCAAATTTTAGAAGGAGACTGTGGCTTCTGTAAGCATCAGTCTTTTTGATGTTAAGTTATAGGTGTTTTTTGACAACATTTAATTAGTTTGTTCATGCTACGAATTCCAATAGTTCCGGTAAATAAAAATAATTCATTAAAAAGTTAAGATCAACAAATTTAAGTTTCATGTTAGAAATTTAAGTCACTTCGTGTGTGAGCAACGATTAGCAATTCAGTCACACCCAATCACCTTATTTCTGATCACCTTATTTCGATGCTTTTTCATAAAATAAAGTATCCGATGGAATTTCTAAATTATAATAAATTTTAAGATGAAAAAAGATGTTTCAAAAAAAAAATTCAATCAAAGAATAATTTTGGATCTGACAGTATTCCATTCTCTTAAATTGCTTTTACAAACATGGATTTATATGTACAAATGCAATTTAAGAATGAGCGCAACGGATTTTCACAAAATATTTTACACATGAAAAATAATTTCTCGTGATATAATGTCCCATTTGTTTCAGAACATTGGGAGCTATCAATAATTTGATAGGTTATATTTTATGGATTTTTTTTAAAAATGGAAGGCTTTATTTTTTTTATAAGGTAGTGAATTGGATGAAAGTTCTTAAAAGAGGAAATTGTTAATGAGGAAAATTGGTGAAACCGGAAATCCATAAAAAATGGAAGGCTTTATTTTCGTGAAGCAAAAATTTCCCTGAGAGAAATGATCCATAAAACAAATCGCGTCAGACTACATTTTGGAAGCTGGCTGGTATGACGCAGTGTATGTTTAGGGACGATATATTTTTATTTGTTCGGTGCCTGGTGCCGAAAGTCTGTGCTCACCTTTACCAACAAATTCCCCTACCCCCTCCTCCCCGTCCTCCCTCTTCCTGTCCTTTCTCCTCTCATCTCCAGCTTCAAGATTTATTTCTATAATTCTCGATAAGTTGTTCTTCAAAAGAGGAAAAAAGACAACAGTCAATTCAAATGTGCACATTTTTAGTATGAAAGAAGAAGCAGGCATTTTTTACTCCCTCCTGCTGAGATCATTGCCCATTCTCATATCCATCCATTAAATAGCTGTTTTTTGTTGCCTTCAACTTGTAACTTCCTCCATTCCAGTCATATTGACTACTCAAAATTTGAAATTTTTGAATCTCGGGGTTACCGATACTTCCCTGGTAGTGCCTGCAACGAAGGGCAAGTGGGAATGAATTGCCTTGTCTTCTGTGCTATGCCATCACGATACAATGAAAACAAATGACTTCCCATTCATATTTACATTGCTTAACTTTCCAGATTTACTCTTTTCGTTCCTAATATTATAATCTTTACGTTATTCACGTCATCTCAATTATTTCCTTCGTTCATACAAACGCATTTCATTAATTGATAGGATATTCGTGAGGAAGATGATATGAATGATTAACTTTACTACAGCAGTTATCCAAATACGCTAGTATCTCAAATTGGCCTGTTCTTCCCATCCCAGCTTTCTCCCTATTATCGTTATATTATCAACAATACATATCCCCACACTTTGGCTGGTTAAATTTAATAATCTATAAATAACTTCTGCTTGCCTAACAACAAAGTTAGTTTGTTGTGAAGCATGAAGGAGTTAGTTATCAATCATTAAGTTATCAATAAATGAGTATGCTTTGGTAAAATCTTTATTCTGTGACCAAGAATTTCAGTTAGATCATAATGAACTCTTCTCACTGTCATCTCAGTCTATTTTCTCTTCTGAGTTTTTCTTCCCTATCCTTCTTTCTCGATCCCTCATTCGCTTACCCCTTCCTCCACTACCTCCGTTTCTGGTCACAGTTGTGTTTCCGTGACGCAAGTTCTGCAAAGAACATGGCTGTCGTCTTTTCCAAAGTGGTGATCAAATTAACCTGTGACTCTCCTGGCCATCTGATAGTGCTGTGAGTCATTCCCCTGTTTTATTGGAGTTAACTGTGCCCATGATGAGAAGTCCTTCGAATTGAAAGTGTCGCCGCTGGGCATTGAGCACGTTGCCGCTCGTTTTATGGTTGGCGTTTCTCAACAGTGTTGTTTGAAAAGCACAATGTAGTTCCTGCTCTTCTTGGCTGTACTGTTTACCTATTCTACCGGGGTACTTCTCTAACTCTTTTACCTTCATTCCACTTCCTGTCGCATATTCTTCATATAATTA